AATGTGAGTTGTCCTCAAGTAGGAGCATCGCATTTGTCAAGAAAAGACTGACAAGTGGAAAGAAAAAAAATTCTAGAAACAACTAATGTAAAGCCAAAACCACAAAAGGAAAATGCCAGAGAACAAACCTAACATCAGCAAAAGCAACCACCCAACCACGATCAAGCAAGCTTTTTAGCTCAGCACGCCATCGCTTGTCTAACAATTCACCATATGCCCCATGCCCATGAAGTAACCCTGGTGTTTCTCTCTCTATCTTCTTTTTGCGAGACTGGACAACTGTTAAAGGAATAGCAACATCTTCTGACGACACATCATAGTACTCACATGCATAATACTCAGAGAGGTCATTCCACATGCCATTTGCAGTATTTACTTTGGTGTTACTATCTATTACAGAGAATGCTATTTTCTTCACAGGAATATCAGAGGATGATGATTTTCCATACAAAGTTTTGGTTCTTTCGAGGAGCACATTTTGCTGCTGTACAATACGCCAATTTCCATCTGCTAAGTTGTAATCTACCACAGCATCGGGCATCTGCAATCGCATTTTCTTATAGTGTTAAGTGAAGTCCAAGTATTGGTTGCAGCAGTACTCTTTTTTCTAACATGTGGAAATCAACACATTTCATAAACAATTAGAAGTACACAATTATCCACATTTATGAATGGCTGTGGATTGTGATTGAGAAATCAAGGGATTATCTAGCGCCCACTGATATGAGCTCAAAACTGCACAATTTAAAAGTTTAATAGATAAAACTATTTCCGATAATTAGGGGACCAATTGGATAACATTCAAGCAACTTGGAGCATCAAAGACACAGGCTTTAATTTTTAAGACTTTTGGAGACATCTTCAATTGCCACCCTTTTTTGTGCTATATGTAGCACCTCTATGCACATTTGGTGGCGAATAATCCATTGATTTCTCAAGTACAGCTATAACACAATTGTCATAATTTAGAAGTCATACGCATGAATTATAAAACACAAGCTTGGAGTGAGATTATCAAGATGGAATAATGATAATAAAGAAAAGCTAACAAGATAATTAACAAAATCACAATTTCCCAGTAAAGAGAAAGAAAACTTCTGAATAATTAAGCAATCTAAGCAGTAGAAAAGTAATACAAATATTACAAGAAAGAAAAATACATGAGGGTATGTATCATCATTGCGATGCCCATGACATGTTTGGAAAAGGATTTCCTTCAACAAAAAAAAATATAAGAGCCAAATAACATTGCGAACTGCAGCTAAGCTCGGTTGCGAACTTCATTCAACGGATATTTAAGTTTTCAAGTTCCATTGTACACCTTTGATTTACACAATAATTTAAAACATTCAAATAGAAAAATATAATACCATTATGATTATCAATCTTCCACAGTGATATCAATTTGTAAGAATAACAATTACGAGCCAAGAATTATATCACATAAGGGAACAATGACTGTAGCAAACTACAACTAAACAGCATTCAATCACAGGCGAACAACTTACCACAGGTGAAGATACAACGAACCGCATGGTTGAGGAGTAGAAGTCATAATTTGTTCCAGGTGAAATTTGACAAACATGTTCTGGGAGAGGTAGGTAACATGGATGAAGAGCATCAATATGATGTGGGGCCTGTTGACAACAAAATCCCTACTAAGTAAGATCATAAGAAAATAGTTTCACAGCATCAAACTGCACAATTCTTAAAGAATATGTTTGCAAAAAACCTATGAAAATCTAAAATATAGAAAGAAAAAAAAAAAAACCAATTATTGTGGATAATCCATATGACATACAAAAAATGAAGCATATTGACTGATGTAGAAAGAGGTCACCAAGGCAGACATTGACACTGGTGTTGCTTAGAAAAGTTCAAACAATAAGGGAGCCCATAAAGCAGAAAAAACATAATACATCTTATACAACATGACATGTATAGCAACTACAGAGCGATTCATAACAATAACAAACATGAAAAACACCCATTTTTCGAAATAAAAACAAAATCAACAAAAATATATAAAGCTTATAAAGCTCTTAAGACAACCATCTGAATACCATAAGAAATACTTTCTTTTCATCATACATGGAGAGAAGCTAATGACATAGAAACCCATTGGAAAAGATGGGCGATGGGCGTATCCAAACCCATTCAGGCGTCCTTTTAGTAAATCATAGCAGTTCTATAAGATAAATTGAACACTAAAAGTCAATGCTAACGTAGCAGCAAATCCATTGCCTTAATTTGGGAATCAAGATAAATATATAAAATCAAGGAGGAGTCTGGACCACTGGAATGAATAACAAAAGTTGATCAATCTATTAACAAAATCAATCTGTGGTAAACATGACAAAACCATTCAGTTACCTTAACTTGGTGAGGCAAAGGCAGGGCAATAGAACACAATTTGAGCTTCCGTCCTTCCCTTAATAGCAGCACCATGTGTGTATTGCACAGATCAACATCTTCGATGCACATGTTGGACTCCTCAAGAAACACATCCTAAAACAAAGGAGAAATAGCATAAAGATAAACACCAAGAAGGAAAAAAGGCACCTGAGAAAGCCATTAAGTAAGTCAAATAAAAAAAGCGAAACAAAGGCATATAATAAAGATCCAATAAATATAAGAAGCTCAGCACTCATAAAAAATGAAGTCCCATCTACTAGAACCATCCAGGAAGAAAAAATAGCAGATACTATATAAATGAGATGTGCTTTTACCTTGGAACACAATAAACAAATAAACTACCAGTGATGATTCAATCAAAATATTATGACACCCACCAACCCACATCCCCCACACACAAATAAAAAAAATACACACAAAAAAACATGAAACCAATAACTTAAAAGAGTGTTCCTATCAAGTAGATGGAGCATATAATCTAACCAGTATTATGCCTGAAACAACAATCAAAATTAACTACATTTTAATGCCTTTCTTTCATAAATTTCAAGAGTAAAATTTTGCAATTATGCTGACAAAAAGGTTCATTAACATGTGGTATGGGAGGCAGAAGAAGATGATTTCCTATTTGGATGTTAAATATACGATATTTCATGACTTGCTAGTCTTAGGTTTTTATACAAGACTTTCTATTTTGCTTCTTTGGAAAATAACAATAAAAGTGTCAAACCCCTTCAGAAATTCACCAAGAAGACTATAACCTAGGTTGATATTTTATGACTTGCTAGTCTCAGGCTTTTATACAAGACTTTCCATTTTGCCTCTATGAAAAATAACAATAAAAAGGTGAAACCCTTTTAAAAAATCAATAAGGTGGTCAAATCATCGAATTTGGCATTATAATGGTTCCTTTATAAAAATCCTTTCACTTAGTACTTCTTCAACTTTTTTTTTTTTTTGAAACTGTAGGTACTTCTTCAGCTATTTTATCCAAACATACCAAAAAATGATCCTGTTCTTGGTTTGGAGCCCAGACATGCAAGGTAATTAATGTCATATGGCTCCACTTAAATCACTCAAGCCAAAAAATTAAAATGCCCTTCCTATTTCTGGGTTTGAAACCAGAAAATCCCATTGATCTATTGGTTTGGAAGAACTAGTGAAGATGTTTTCATCATTTGGCTCCACTTATGCTCTCATACCAAATGATGCAAATATCTTCCCTTGATTTGCGTTTAACCCAGAACAAGCAATTTCAATGGAAAAAATGGATGTTCCATGTTTGGATCCCAACACGAGATAGGGGTAGTTCCACCATTTGGCTCGAACGACTTAAGTCAAACCAAATGATGGTGATAGTGTAGAAACGAAAAGCAATCCACGAAAACAAAAAAGAAGAAACAAACACAAAAAAAAAAAGACAACCAACGACAACACAAAGACATACGTGGTTCGGCAACGCGAGAGATTAGAGCTTCTTTACTGGCAATGGAGAATAGGGTTACAATTCGCTCTCTTTCTCACGCCTCTCTGTTTTTATTTAATTACAAAGAGATATGTGTTTTTCCCAATCACAACAATATATATCGAGTCTCAAATAGATGGTACAAATTACCGAAATACCCTTGTACGGATATATATTATGTCCCATATATATCGAATCCCATGTATGGATATATCCTCCGGGCCTCAAGCCCTGCGGGCCTTCGGCCCTTCGGGCTTTTAACGGCCCTCTGGAGTCGTCTTTTTGACTCCACCTTGGCTAATCTATTTCCTCAGAATACAAGACATCAATCCTCAATGAATAGTTAATACCAATGCTGATTCCAAAATCCAAAACCAGAACAAGAAACTTCAATAGAAAAAAAAAATGTTCTAGGTTTAGAAAAGAGAACAACGGAGGGCAGTTGCCTCATTTCACTCAAGAGCTCAAGTGGAGTCAAATGACAGATATAACCCGGCTAGTTCTTGGTTTCATACCCAAAAACAAACAATTTCAATACAAAAAGAGATGTTATGTGCCTGGAACTCGAAAAAAAAAGGGCAGGTCCATAATGACACAAGCAGAGTGAAATGACAATAATATCCCACTTGTTCTACGTTCCAAACCCAAAACATAAGGATTTTCATCATTTTTAGAGAAAATAGGTCAAGTACCTGGGAGGAAGGATTTTTATAGAGCAACCACTATAAAGGAAAATTGGTTGATTTGACAACTCTAGATGTTTTATAAGGGATTTAACCACTTAATAATGCTTTCTCTTGATTCTTTTGAGGGGATTTTGAAAAAGACCCCTTACAACTTGCCTATTTTAACAGTTCGTCACGATGAGCTACAGATTTTAACACTTTGCTAATTCCATATTTTTGCAGGAGGTGTTAGTAAAATAAAATATCAATGTCCTAGAAAATCAATAATTTTTAAGTACTACCATTATAACAAGGAACTTTTTAAAGGAGCAATTTTGGAAAATGCCCCTACTATGACATGGGTACTGATATTGAGTGTTATGAAGTGTTAAAATGGCCATCTCCTAGGATGTATGATTAAAAGCCCTTCTTTTTATTATAAACTTCATCAGAGGTATGGGAGAGTCCCTTCTAATTTATATCATTGGTGGACATGGCTTTTATTAATTATTAGGTATTATAAATTAAGAGAATTTCACTTACAATTAAGACAAGTATAGAATAAGACCTTTTACCTTAAAACCAACAAGGTCACAATTACTCCACACCCTTAGATGTCAAATCGAGTAGTTGGAAGTGTGTTATTGATTGCACTCAAGTCATAGAAAAAATTTCTTGAACTTTGTAACAGACCCTAATCGCTTGATTCATATTTTGACAACTAGGATTGATTTTGACGTTCTTATATCAAAAGTAAACAGTCTTATAATATACCTCCCTTCTAATTAATACTCTAATGGAACTTATTTTCAAAATAAAAAACATTAAAAAATTTCAGTACTTAAGACCATATTTTCTATCAAAACTATAAAAAAATTGCTTTCTTTTGTATGGTCTTTTTTATTTAAATTGCCTCGTAAGGTTCTTACGTTACTAAATTTCTTGGATTCTTTAGATATGTAATACTTGTAATTTGGTTAGGTTAATAACATTTTTAAATTTTTTGATGTGCCATTAGAATTCATTTAAGAAGAGCTCGATCGCCAAGTTTTGGAAGAAAAAAAGGAACTAGTTTTCTTAGTTCCTGCAAGCTAACACTTTCTTTTTATTAACTTTTTTTAGATAGCAACATGTAGAATATGATATACATTATATTTGATCCCTTTCAACAGCAAAAACATATGGTTTTTCTATTTCTCTTACGCATGTAGTCTTAAATTAAACAGTTCAAGAGTACAGTGAAAAATTACAAAAATATTCTAGTAATTCATATCTCCATTAAATTTTTTCAATTTTGTATAAATATTAAAAATAAGAAGCTATAAATTATCAATAATCAAAGGGCATTGCTTCCCAAACACCTTTAATAGAATTATTAGAGGTTACTAAATATTAGAATCTAAATTGTGAGAGTTTATTTTATAGAATTTTCTAATAGGACTCTTTTGCATTGTTACAAAAATAATTGAAGGGCCAATCTGGATGACGTACAAGGTGTCAAAAAAGGTGGTCTTATATTCCCCCACCCCCTCCTGCTCAGGGAAGTTGGAGATACATACAGTATCCGCGCAAAATAGCACGGATGGGGAGAGATAACACCGACGGGGTAATAGAACTCAATATGGTATTTTGCCGCCATCCATATTTTACTCCATCAACAGATTGGCAGACACCAACTGGCCCCAACATTCTTGACCAAACAAAACAACACGGATGGGGGGAGATAACACAGATGGGGTAAAAAAACTCAATAAGGTATTTTGCCGCCATCCATGTTTTACTCCATCAACAGATTGGCAGACTCCCAACTGCATTCTTGACCAAATGTAAATAAGCATTTTCACTTGTATGGCATTTATTAAGTCATGAGAATGTTAACCTATAAATGCTAATAACCATAACTTAGCCAAAAAAAAAACAAGATGCTAAATTATGCTGAGAAGTCAAATATTAAGTCAAGACAATAATTTGGATGCTGGCACAGACGTATTACAATACAAAAGCATCCACAATAAAATATCACATCTTCACTGAAATTCATAATGATGATGCTAAATAAAATTAAGAATAGAGTCATAGGAGATCAAATATTGGATGCAGTCTTTCACAGTGAGTGCTTCTCATAATTTGAACAGTAAATCGGGCTCACTTCCTCTGCCCATAGTTCCATACAATCTGTATGACCCTTATCACCATAAACTGTCAAAGTTGACACGTCAAGATTATAAGCATTCAGGGGGCAAATGTAATCAAATGACAACCAATTGTTTATTTATAAATTCAGAACACTGGCAACGTTATCTACCAAATGTATTTGATAGTAACAATCTTTCGACAGATTGCATTACTATTTTACCATAACATACTCAAATTTGGGTGGAATGTTACGATGAATTTATCATCAGTATGTTAACCAACTTTGTTTAAAGAAACGCGAAACCACTTTTATAGTGAGTGTAATAGCTAAATACATCAGTCCAAGATGATCGGTTGTTTATGATTTAGACCATCTAGAATCAGAATGTGACCAATGAGAAAAAGCACCATCAAATGTAGCACTAACCACCTCTTAAGTTCTATTTTATTATTTGATACATCATTTTTTTTTTATTAATGGTAACATTTAGAACACTATAATTGGTATAGAGGAATTGCAGAGTAACTCATACTCTCTAATTAATTCCAAAAATAATCAATACAGGATGTATCATGGCTTCAATCAAGAATGAGAAGATCCCTCTAAAGGATTGGCATATTTTTCCAAGTTGGGAAAGAATGACCAAGAGAACCTTCAACAGTAAGTCAATAACCGTTTATATCAATACCATACTCAAAATATGCACTTCAAATTGTTTAGCTTTGTAATTCTCTAAAAGGATATATTCAATCAAACGATTCTGATTGAAACAGGAATACAGGACACCCCCCATTTCAGAAACAGAGTAAAGTTAAGAGTGCCACTGCATAAGGATTGCTTGCCATTATAAACAACCAATATCAATATCCTTTATGGTTCCAAAAATGACAGAGAATGCATCAAATCAAGAAAATTTTCACAGGAGTGGAAAGTAGAATTTTGGGGATGTTTATTTAAAGGGAGAAAAAAAGGAATTCACAATGTTTTGCATTCAAATCAATCGAAACTCCTTAAGACCGAAAGCAGACACGTGAACTAAAATTCAGGTAACAATATTTACAAACCATAGAACAGACACTATAATAGAACCACAAAAGTGACAATAAACTCTCATGGAGTGGAGAATAGAAGAAGCAATTTTTGTAAAGGCAATTGGATTTGCTAAAGCCTTCCTCCTTCCTCCCACCTCTCATGACAAAAGTAACTGATTTGAAAATTTTTATCAAGTGGTCAAGAGGAGGGAATCTCCCTCCTTTCCTTTGCCTCTTCCATTGGTATTGCGGATTCCAGAGAGGAGGAAGCCCGTGCTCTCCTGGAAGGGCTTAAACTCTTCACCCTTCATGGAGCTCTTCTCTCATAGTAGAGGGAGACTCCAAAAATGTCATCACCTAGGCCTCTCAAGAATCTATCGCAGCTTGGAGACTTTTGGCTATCTTTGACGAGATTTCCTATCTTTGCAGGCATATGCAGGTCTCTTGGAGGCATACCTGGAGGGAGGCCAACCAAGTGACCGACGCACTAGCTAAGCAAGGAGCCTTTATGGAGTAGTTTCATGCTGTGCGCTATTTTGCGCCTTTTTAGTTCTTCTGGTAACAGCATCTATAGGCTGCTTCCATTTGCAATGACTCCTTATGATGTAATCCTGCTTGTATAACTTCTTCTACTCTTAATACAATGTTAGCCTTTTAAAAAAAAACAAAAAAACATTCTATGAAAAAAAAAAACAAAGATAGTAATAAATATTTTTGGGTAAGATAGTAATCACTTTGGTTTTAAGCTTTATGAATGTAACACAAAAAACAGTAAAGATCAGCATTTGAAAGAAAATAGCATGAGCACGTACAAACCTCCCAAGTTCTAGAACTAGAAGCTTCAACTGGACAACGAAGCAAATAATGAGAATCATCAAGTTGCCCATCTCTTGCAGCATCTGTAAATAGGTATAGATATCCTTGATGATGTTCAATTATGCAATGTGCATGTGGCTCACATTCCCATACTTGTATCATACCAGCCAAAGGGGCTGCCACATTTAACAAAAAAACCTAAACAGAAAGCAGCTTTCATCAAGGGTGACACAAAAATCTAAAACCAAATAAAATAGAAGAAACACATATCTTGCATGTGAAGTTAAAAACAAATTAGCAAATTATGACCTTTGAGAAAGTACTCGAAAACACATTTACTGTGACAAAGCGGTAATCCTTAGTGTTTCTGATGTTAAGGTAAACCGTCTCATCTGAATCTTCCATTACTAGGATGTCATCCTTACCAGATCCCAGAATGCTGCAGAAGATCCTGAAGCAATGTTCGATAACTCACATTAAAATACTGAATCAGAAAAACAACCAAAAGGAATTGAAAACGTAAGTTAACCAAACCTATATGGTCTCTTAAAATCATTAGTTACAGTATAAAGCAATGCTTCACCACCCATAGCCCATGCCAAATTGGCAACCCTGTCAGCTCGTGGTCTGCTACATAATGATCCTGTATTCAAATCCCGAACAGATAGAGTAAAATAGTCTTTGTCCTTGTCATACATAGTATATGCAATAAACTTATGGTCTGGAGATATTTCAGACAATTCTTCATAAGCATACCCTATAAAATAAGAAGACAAAACCAAAACATAAACACACATCTCAGTAAAACAGATCATTCAAAACATCATCAAAACAATTAACATCAAAAATCACGAATGAACTAGTTAAAAGGCATTACCCCCAAACCTCTCAGCTTCTTGATTGTAATCTAACAACTTTTTTTCTATTTTTTTACCAGCTATGAAATCGAAACCAGCAGCAGGATCAGTATTAGATATAAACTCTTCATTCAAGCTAGCTAGCCTCCGGCATAGAACAGGATATTGCTTCCCTTCTTCCACACGCCTATAGTACAACCTGAAAAACATATCTTGAAGGAACCCCAGAAGCATTTTAGCACTTAGAGCTACTTCTCTAATGACTACAAGAACAAAATTTCGATGAAGTGTATCAAAATACACATGTTTTCCAATTGAAAAGATCTCAAAATCTGTAAATGTTGTTTCAAAAAAAATTGTTGGTGAAGTTGCCTACTCCAAGCTATATACCACCTTCAGTTAAGAACACATATCAAATTCAAACACTGTTTGGAAAACCACGTGCATTGCACTAACATTATTGTGGGAGGAAAAACCGCCAGCAAAGCAACAACTCTTTTGAAAATACGATATCTGTATTTTCAAAATTTTGGTTCTCATATTTAATAGCACAATCACACAAACAGATGGTTGCCAAAAACAAAGCCATGAATGTTATGAATGCGGCTATATCAACAAAATGACACAACAAGTATAGAAAGAATCCAAAATCAACCAAAAAATGAAAGTCCATAGATTTCAGGATAATTTTACATATGGGACCCAATAAAGATGAATATACAATTACAGAGATAACCGAACCAAACCAATAACGTACTAGCATCATCACAAAATCCATAGGATAATGCAAATCCTTCAAAGGAATTAAACAATTCAAGCACCTCAACTGCTGTATTAAAATGATCCGTAACCCAAATATTGTTCTCAAAATCAAAGATGGATAGGAATCAGAAATTTTCAACAACCTCTACTCATTTCTGGAGACCCAATTAGTTGAAATTCCAAGTGAAACATGCATTCTCACAAAAAACATCAGCAAAATATTGGTAAAAAAAGATTTTCCAGAAATTCTACTTATTTCAAGCAACCTAACTATTCAAAATTTCAAGTGATCGGATTATGGGTTCTTAGCTTCTCATACAAGACGATTGCATCATTATTCAAACCTTTCAAAAGTGATACACTTACCAAGGGCCCCATCGAACTGGAGGAGTAGAGAGATCTGCAACCATTCGGCCCGCCATCTCAGTTTGAAGCTTCCTCTGCAGCTTGCTTGAATCTGACATTACAGCTTCAGTATATTTCTCCTCTTGTTCCATACACACATCCATATGGCGCATGGCAACCTTATCTCTGAGATCGGACATCCAACTATAAGGATCGTGCCATGTCAATCCATGTAAGCTCACTTCTACTGGTTTTTGAGGTGGCTTTGGTGGAGTTGGCGGGCTTGGAGGCTTGGAGGCCTGTGCATGTGCCCATCGAATCCATGGTAACCTAGAACTAGCGATCCATGGAAGTCTTTTCGGGGCTAGAATGGATCCTATTGAGGTCATTAGAAGAAAACTTGTTAGAATTGGGGTCTTCTTTTTCAAATACGAAACATTTACAGAGACAGAGCTTCATATATGTAACAGAAGCAAATAAAAACTATATTTCTCCATAAGGACCAGAAACGCTAGCAGATTTAGGGTTTCTCGATCTCCTTATCAAAAAAGGATTAGGAGAACTTTGCAGACGAACGCAGTTATCTGTGGTGTTGTTTCACTTTGCTCTTTGTTTGTTTTTCTGATATGAACTTTGCCGTTAATGTGACAGATGAATCAGCTTGAATTAGGTTTTTGTTTACGATCTAGAACTGAATCATTTGGAGATAACTGGTATGACAAGGAATTTAGGGTTTCAAATGCGTCGTGGTGGAAGATGTAGTTGCAGAGAACTAGGGCGTTCGGTATAGGGTTTTAGCTCTGCCGAGTGAAAAATGCCGGGGAAATCAATATTATGAAAAAGGCTACGGCCAGTAATAAGAAAGGCACAAAGACGCATCTCAATCGTCAGCTGTAGCCATGGACGGTGGAATTGTTTATAGCATACTGTTTGGAAAAAAAAGCTCAGCATAGTGTACTTCCTTTCATCGTTAGAAGTGGTGCAAGGAGCTCAAAGAGTGGTTTTCGCCGTTCAAATGAAATACTTATTTAATGGAAAACGTTAATTTGATAATTATCGAGTGGAACTTAGTAAAGTGATTCTAGAATATATTAGGCTTTTGTGGAAAACCTATAAATTTGTTAAATTAATTCTAAATAAGATTAAATACTAAATCGATGAGTATTAGAACAACGCAAACGAGCTTTTAATTCTCCTCCTAAAATAAAAAATCCTCTCACGATTTAGAAATAATTATTCCTATGTGTCTTTCGAATAATATATCTCACATTTCACTTTTGATGTATTTCCACTTTAGATAGACGACTTTGCAGCTCAAGAAATGCAAACTAAATGATTTGGGGAAAATTAAAATGAACCTCACTAATTATTTAAAAACAAAATTTAAAATAGTCGTCAAAGTTCATTAATTGAGATTGTTTTTCAGCAAGGACTTTTTGGAACTTTATTAATTGAGATTGTTTTTCATCAAGTAGATGATTCCATCAATAGGTTGTTTTCTAGCAACTACTAGATGATTCCATTTGTAGGCTTTTCTTCTTAATTTTTGATTTGCATGTTTAATTTCTCTCAATGGCCACCACCTATCCATGTTTTAGTGGTAAAAGTACAATCACTTTTTATGAGCCATGAGACCTTGGTCTTGAATTTTAATTTACATCAAATAATCACTTGAATGTCAAAAAATATTCCAAAAAAACCATCTTTCAAGAATAGAACAATCTTGATTTTGGAACATCCACCAATAATAAAACAATCAAAGTTAGGGGTCCAAAAAATATGAAATAATTTATATGAGGTATCAACCTTGTACTAGCATAGTAAAGTGCACCAAAAAAATGTATAAAAAAAGGTTATTTAGACATTGGAAAGCCCACCAATTGATCATCTCAACCTTGAGTTGTATGAATATATAAAGAAATCACGATTTCCAAGGATGAGAAATGGTGCATCTTGTAGTACATTATTTAGGTGGTACATTTTCAAAATTATCAAGTGTTTGTAGATCTTGATCTGAACTATTTTTGGAGTTAAAATTTTATAATTAAAGATAAAAATAGATTTTCAGACCGTCATAAGAATTTTTGCCAACAAAATTACATCTTACCATAACATTTGGAGTGCGACTTACTTTGATTGTTTAGGATTTCAACCTTATGCAAACTGCACCCAAAAAATATTCCTAACATGAGTTTAATGCAACGGAACAAATGAACAAAATGCTCCTGCGGTAGCAGAAAATCATTTTACAATTTTGATGGAACTCGAATGGTCAGGTGAGAGCGTAACCGGCTTCAAAACTCCAAAAATAGAGCCTGAAAATGTCGGTACAAAAGACCAGAGATTCACATCTAACTGTTTAATCGTGAGCTCTGTGACTTGACAAAATAGAATATCGACTTTAGTCCCTTTCTCATCATCTGTCTCCATTGCACTCTGTCTGTCTCATTCTCTGTTTCTTGTGTTTTTCTCTCCAAGAACCGAGCCTAGATATTGGTTTTCTTTCTTTTGTTTACTTAGAAATAGAGAATTGGATGTATAGCCTTGTGGAGGATTTCTGCTGGATTTATGAGCCAGAGAGGATATTGTTTTTCTTCAAGGTTCTTTCTGGTAATTTCTGTATAGAACTTGTAAGAATCCTTCATGCTCTTTCTTTGTTTGCAGTTCTTGTGTCTCTCATTGTGATCACATATTTTTTCCTTGAAATTTTGATTTGGTTTAATTGTTTTGTTGCTCAACACATCTAAAGCGTGGTTATGTACTATGCAAGCTCTTAGATGTATAGTAATCTACAAGGCAATTCAGAGTAAAATACTGAAAATATAAGCAGAACACATTAAATAGTTTCAGTTGAATTACTTAAGTGGAAGATATAAGGAGTGGTTTCTACATTTTAGAGAGTGCGACAAGTTTAGATTCTTTAGAAATTTGATGCTGTTAAAGAACAAGGAGCTTAGATTTTAGGACTAGGTTGCCCAGGTTTTTTGTTCATCGGGATTCAATACAAATGAAGGAAAGAGATATAGAGTTTCACCAAAGGTTCTTGCCAACTTGCAATTACCGGGGGTTGGCTCTGAATTAGGCGGTCCTTGGATCTAGATTGTCACGAACCACAGAATCCGTCTGTACGCTGTAGGGACTCAGACGAATCACGACTCCTCTGAGATTTCTTGTTTGTTCATATTTTTTTTTTCTTTGGAGGGTCCATGGTTTCACATGTTATTGGTATCATAAGATGTACCAAAAATATTAAAATAAATATGAAAACATGGAAGATGTTTATTTTTAGACTTTGGCTTCTTGTGAAACAAGTTATGACTCCTTCATTAAGTGAGAATGGAGAAAAACGACCCAAAATTTATAGGTACACACTCAATTTTCTCAAAAAAATCTTTCTACGAACCCTCAATGAACCTTATTTTATTACATGTTTATGTCCCAAAAAACTTTCCAGAGCCTGTGACATGCAATGGTTTCTTTCCTCGAGAGAAACATGCGTTATAGGGTCACATTAATCTTAACCATTGGATGTGAAATTGAGTGGCTGCAATTATTCTATTTACTAAGCTCAAATTTCAAAATAAATTTTCACGAACTTTGTTACACATCCAAACCATCAAATTGCACATCAAATGGTTGTAAGGAATTGTGACCATCTTGTATCAAAAGTAAATAGTCTCATTATATATAATTCTTATTTATTTTATTATACCTATAATTGGCGCAGAACCAGTTTTTACAAATACTAGGCTGTAAATAAACCAACATGGAGTGGACCTATAAGCTTCGTATAAGGTCAAGGTTTTATTTGATATTACAATTATAGAGGGAGTGGTACACTTGTTTTCCATAAATTTACGCGAAGAATGGCAAATAGAAAATTGTAAGTTAGCAAAATATGATTTGTATCAGTTTTTACTTATTAGTAGAAAATAATTAGATTGGTAAACCCTAAAGATCACTTGTTCACATGGCCTTTATGCTGCTTTTCAAAGTTCATTCTCAATATTGTTAACCTCTTGTCGTGAATAAGTATTGGGTATCAGTCCATTGTAACAAATGGTTCGGTTTGACCCTACCTGACCCAGGTTTGGATATGGACACGGGTGTTGGACCCTGCCTAACCTAGGTTCGAATATGGGCTTGTAGGAGGCCATTACCTCTTTTTAGAGCAAAGTGCATATCTCTTTTGTAAGGTGACCTAAATAAGACATACATGTTCTTTCTCTCATTTCATAAATATAAGTTTATGAATCTGGTAACAAATCACATTAGAAAATATATTAATTTTTCTTATAATTTTTTTCCTAAAATCAAGAAATTTCACATAAGGTATCAACCTTTATATCTCCAAACATTGACCAAAGATGTAGTTCCTAATTATGAAATTAGAAGCTCTAAACATGGTGAAGACCAAATAGCACTGCAAACACTTTGAAAAATTTGTAAAATAGACAGTCCATATGATGTACAATTAAAAAAAATAAAAAATCCACATGATGCACTATTAAGATTTAAAATCATTCTTTTCTTGTCCCTATATCTCCCAGTTGAACCTAGTCCATCAAGACTAGCATGGAAAAGGAGTTTGCCCAACTCATTGATGGTCCGGATCATTCCCCATTCAAAAAGCGGTCTAGAAGAGTAAGGCTCGTGATCTTTCACATGAGCACGTCTTAGAGCCATGCTCCCAAGGGAGCATACTGTACAAGCAACTCCCTCAGGCAAAATAAAAACCAGGATGATATTTTTTAATGTGAAGTTTTAGGATCCATCTAAGTATCATTAGATGATTATTGTTCATTTTTAATTTTTTTTTTTTTAAGGTCTTGAACACCTAGATCTTGGCCTTTGAAAATCGGATCGTTCTTGTTCAACTTGAGATGTTAATTTTCTTATCAAGAGTCCTATTTAATTAATTTATTTGTTTCTCTCTTTGAGGTTGGTTACTAGGTCTTAGATGTTACATCCTCAAAGTTAAGGGTCCAGAAAATATGGAAAAAGTTGATGATGTATGAACTTAGCGTTGAAGCAAGGTGCACTTGAAAAATCTAGAGAAAGGCTGTTTAGACATTCAAAAGCCCTCCATTTGATCGTCTCAACCTTGAGTTGTATGGGTATAAAAAAACAAGATTTAAAAGTCAAGAAATAGTGCATCTTGTAATACATTATCTGAATGGCTATTTTCAAGTATTTATAAATTTGCTTGATTTGAATCATTTTTGGAGTTAAAATTTTACAATTAGAGATGAGAATAGATTTTCGGACCATCCTAAGAATTTTTGATACCAAAATTACATCCTAGATAAAGTTTCAAGATGTGCTTTACTTTGATTGTTTAAGGTTGTAGTATTTTTGCAAAAAGATAAAGTTTTAAGTCGAATGACTTTAATTCCTCGGGATTGGGGTTGAGGTTATGGTGGTTATACTACTTGAGCATTAGTTACTGGTTTAGGTTTTTATTCCCAATGACATATTTGAAAACCGCTAATTATTTCTAAAAACTGGTAGGGGTTTTTATTCCCTACTGATCTGTCAAAAAAAAAAAAAAGACTTTAATCCAATGGAGCAAATAAACAAAATACTCCCGCGGGAGCAGAAAAGCTTTTCACAATTTAGATGGAACTCGAACGGTCAGATGACAGTGTAACCGCCATTAAGTTGGGTTGATATAATTTGATTTTTAGCTGTTCGGTAGTCAACAGTTGATTCCTCGTAACAGCACAGGGTTCGAAACGCGATAAATAAACCCTGTTCGACAAGTTGAGAAGTTCGAAGTTCGACAAGTTTAGATTCTTTAGAATTTTGATGGCTTGATGCTGTTAAAGGACAATGAGGTTAGACTT